TCACAATAAGATGAAGAAAATTACATGTTACTCCACCAAAACCATAATATATCATTTTAATTCTGTGAATGTTCTTAAAGTAATATAATCAGCCAGAAATGGCAATATTTGTTTTTTAACCATTTAACTATTAAATGATCACAAAGGAATATCAAAACCATCAGTAATGAAAGATACTTTGGAGTGACCCTGTCCCACTCAATGTGTCAAAGAGCAAAACTGGTCTGTGTGCACTTGGCTTGCACTGGGCTAGCTGAGGTCTAACGAGAGTACAAAGAACTTAGAGATTATTCCATTTGGATGAAGACTACCTTTTTTATACTTTCTCTTCTCCTAAAAGGGAAAATCACCGCCATGACAATGTGCTCAAAGTAAACCAGTTTCTTATCTTTATTTTTGTTTTGTCTTATTTTATCATTCTACCAGAGACTATACCAACTGAGTGGGGATGATGAAAAAGAAGCTTCTCAAGGGAAGCACCACATCAAATTTATCTTTAAATGTTGAATTCCCAGAGACATTTTCCCCATAAATGCTTATTGAATAACTGAATAACATTTGTCACAAACTAAAAAAGATCATCCAGTAATAAATGTTTGTATCCAAATCTCTTATGAAAATTCCAGTGAATGATTATGAAATGACTCATAATTTTACATATTATTTCTGCTTTTTTTTTTTTTTCCATCTGCTGAAACTTCATTGTATGCCTAAGTCCAGGTCACTGACTCTAAAATAAACACTAACATTCACGCACACAGTCATACCTCAGGGTTGTTTTTGGTTGTGTACCTAATTTTGTGTAATATAAAACTTTTAAAATCATGTGAAATATGGAGTCTAGATTTGTAGATTTATAAATAGGATGAACTTGTTCACCTTTAAAATAAAAGAAGCAAAGCTCATGCAATATTTTAAAAGTTGTATTTAAAATTTTGTGATTTTGGGGGCGCCTGGGTGGCTCAGTCGTTAAGCGTCTGCCTTCAGCTCAGGTCATGATCCCAGGGTCCCGGGATCGAGTCCCACATCGGGCTCCCTGCTCGGCGGGAAGCCTGCTTCTCCCTCTCCCACTCCCCCTGCTTGTGTTCCTGCTCTCGCTCTCTCTCTCTCTCGGTCAAATAAATAAAATCTTTAAAAAAAATAAAAATAAAATAAAATTTTGTGATTTTTTTTTGTAACTTCTGATCAACAATTTATGTGAACAGAAAATTCAAAATAAGCCTCAATTCTAATAATTAGGTCTAATGTATTTTATTAAAAACACAAAATAGTTTTTGTATTTATTAAAAACAAAATAGCCTGGGTGGCTCAGTCAGTTAAGCGTCCGACTCTTGATTTCTGCTCAGGTCATGATCTCAGAGGTCGGGAGATCAAGCCTTGAGCTGGGCTCCACACTGAGTGGGGAGTCTGCCTGGGATTCTCTCTCCTTGCTCCTCTGCCCCTTCCCGCTTGCACACACGCTCTCTCATTCTCTCTCAAAATAAATAAATAAATAAATAAATAAATAAATAAATAAATAAAGTAAACAAATAAATAAAGTAAACAAACAAATAAATAAAAACACAAAATAAAACAAAACACATATTTTAGCTAACTACTATAATTGAAATTGATTTTATTTGTTCCTTATTTAAGTAGACACTCTTTCATCATGGATGCCATGGAGCATGAATTCAGTCCAAGTGTTTTTATTTTTGTTTTTGGTTTTTAGTTCCTTAAAAGATAATCTGAGGGTGTCTGTGTGGCTCAGTCCATTAACCGTCTGCCTTCAGCTCAGGTCATGATGCTGGGGCCCCACGTCGGGCTCCCCAAACAGTGGGGAGTCTGCTTCGTTCTCCCCAAAGACCGGGGAGTTTGCTTCTCCCTCTCTCTCTGACTCTCCCCCTTCTGATGCTCGTTCTGTCTCTCACGTGCTTGCTGTCCCTCTCTCTCTCAAATATATAAATAAAATCTTAAAAAAAAAAAAAAGAAAAGAAAAGGTAATCTGAATAAAAATAAATCAGCAGCTAATTTTTTGTTATGTTTATAGGGAAAATGCTACATTCCTAAAAGAAGTCTCAAAAAGTATAAATCATGGAGAAGGATACCAAATTCATGAGAGACCTCATCTTACCAAGCTTCTTGGGAGTTCTGGTAAATGTCCCCTTTATGGTTCGACAATGAGAATTATCTCCTCCACAGACGCCACACTTATCCTCAACCTTAGTAGAACCGATTTCTTTATCACAGCCCACTTTCTGGAAAGAGAAGATGTTAAACGTGACTAATTTCAATGTGCCAAGTGAAGGTCAGCATCCTAGACAAGGACAAACCATTTGTTTTACCGTGAGCCCACAGTGACACAGTCTGACCAAACCTTGACTCAAGCTCTGACTTTTTTAATGCCTCAATCTTTTTGAAGAGCTACTATGAAGTCAGATGACTTGTACTCTAGGTTAAAATCTACTCTAGGATACATTCCCCCAGTCTAATTAAATATTTACCCCATCACACATAGTCATGACCCATCGCACATTTATTAAGCGCAGATATTGTCGTTGATGCTGAAAAGACAAAAAGACAAAAAGTGTTTTTCCCCTGTTGCTCTCCTATTTGGAAAGATGAGTAATAAAACAATGAGCTGGGCATTAGCATAAGCTTTATAAGCTGGCTAGGGATGCAAAACAAAACTTTACAAAAAATAAAATAAGACGGGGCGCCTGGGTGGCTCAGTCAGTTAAGCGTCTGCCTTCGGCTCAGGTCATGATCCCAGGGTCCTGGGATCAAGTCCTGCATCGGGGTCCCTGCTCTCTGGGGAGCCTGCTTCTCCCTCTCCTCCCCACTTGTGCTCTCTATCTCTGTCTCTGTCTCTCAAATAAATGAAATCTAAAACTAACTAACTAACTAAATAAATAAAATAAAGACGAAATCAGAGAGGGAGACAAACTGTAAGAGACTCTTAACTCTAGGAAGCAAGCTGAGGGTTGCTGGAGGGGAGGGGGATGAGGGGATGGGGTAACTGGGTGATGGAAACATGATGTAATGAGCACTGTGTATTATATAAGACTGATGAATCACTAAACTCTACCTCTGAAACTAAAAACAAACCAAACCAACCAAGAAACAAAAAAAACTTTATGAAGTGCTGGATATTTTCATAAGGCCTGTTGAAAGGCATTTCAAGAATGCAGAGGGATAAAAACAGAGCCATGGAAATTGTATGCTCATGGAAAGTGGGTTCTGAGAGCAATACTGAAGCCATGTTTAAGCCAATGGAAAGTTAGTACTGTATGAGAGGGGAAGAACAGTGAAAGATTTGCAAAGCACAGGCCATGAAAGACCTCGAATATCAGGCAGAGTTTACATTTTCACAGGAACTTAACAGGGAACCACTGAAGGTTTTCTGAAGTGGGGCAGGCCCCTTCATGGAAATCAGTGCAGGTTAAGGGGACATGATAGGCCACTGCACTCAGAAGTTTGGAATGAAAATGGGCAGAGACAATGATGACCACACGTTTGATGTACTGTGGGAGGGTGAGAGATGGACAAAAGTCAGATTCTACTTTCAGGGGAAATTCATTTCAAATGTGAGGTCTCTGCATTCTTGAGATTCATTCCTACAACACTTTGGTTGTGCTGAAGTGAAGAAGAAACAGGAGTAACACGTTCAGTTAATAAGGCTGATTTCATATCAATTCAACTTGGGAACACGAACAAGAAAGTCAACTGCAGTTTTTTAAAAAAGAGTCTCAGTGGGGCAAAACCCGGTTTTTGCATCTTCGCCTCTTTTGTTCTGAGGTAGAATTCAGTGTTTAAACTTAGAATCAATTGGAAAGTAAGAGAGAGAGCAGGAGAGACAGAGGGAGAGAGAGAATTTCTATTATTTTTTAAATAAAAGATAAAATACATTTAGCATTGCGTTTTTGAAAACAGCTCTGTAGTGGAAAAGTAGATGACTACTAGTAAAATACTCAAAGCAAAAAAAGGCACTATCCATCCTGAGCTGTTGTATCCCCCAGCCAGAGGGATCAGAGTAATTTAGAAAAGGCAACTAGCTGGAAGAGGACGAAACCATATTTACATCTCAGTTCTGCCAATAGCCAAACATTGATGTGAAAAGTGAAAATTTCTACCGCATTTGGTTTAGGTCTCCTCAGCTACTCCTAGATTCTCATTTTAATGTGATTTTACAGATAAGACAGGGTTAAGATCTTTTGAAAACATGCGGGTGAACGACAGTCAAAGCAGAATTGCACAACGGCATAGGAAGCTTCCAGGGATGCCCTGTGAACTCACCACACACTCTCCCCGCACACATATGCTGTATGGATCTTTGTAAGAACAGTGCGTTCCATCCAGCACCAGCTGTTTCATATACACCACATCTCCAGTCTCTCTGGATTGGCAGTAAAGGTGGCATCTTTTCTTGGCTGCAAAGATGGAGGATTAAATCGACCATGTACATAAAGTGACATATTTGCACACTACAGTGATTTTATTTTTAAAATAGAGTTTCCGCACGATGTCCTGAAAACAAAACACTGTATGAATAAATAAAAGAAAGAGTAGCAGAAAAGGATACGTATTTGGCTTACAACTGATCTAAACTGTGAAACTTCTGAGAGTGAAAAGTGGCTGAATTAATAACTGCATAGGAATGACTGGGACTGTCCCAGGCAAAGCAGGTTGGACGTCAACCATGGATTTAACCACAGCTCTTCAATAAACTTTAATTCAGAACCAATTTCATTTTAGTGACACTTAGAGAATTAAAAGCGTTTCTCTTTTGTTTGAACCGATGACCTAGTATGGTTTATGCCTCATGAAGGATCTCATTAGTCAAATGTAATATAATTTACGTGACTCGCTTCACTGAAACAGATAAAAAATAATGCATTTCTTCTTAATGCACTGCAACTTGGAATTCCTATGTGGATGCAATCTTTCCTTTAAAACAGCTTTTAAACTGAACTTGGCAGTGTATTGAGTCATATGGTAACCATGTCACTATTTTGTTTCAGCCACCCAACTACGAAGTACGGTGAGACATTCCTATTAAAGAGGGCACGTTCTGCATGGAGCGCCGGGTGTTATATGCAAACAATGAATCATGGAACACTACATCAAAAACTAATGATGTAATGTATGGTGATTAACATAACATAATAAAAAAAAAAATCAGAGGTACGAAGTGAAACACTAACAGGGAATCCCCAAGTGTCTTTTCTAATAACTAGCGTCACGGTACAAAAGTAAAAGGTTATGATGTGCCTTTTGTTCTCAAGTCATGATCTTCTTCTTGTTTCTCAGTTGTAAAGGAAATGTGGTGTTTCCCTGGTGATTTGGAAAGGAAAGATCACAGTATTCCAGAGCGTTTCCTAGTAGAAGGATGTCAGTCCAACGAGGAAACACAACATGTCTCCACGGGTCTTTTCAGCAGTGACAGTGGGAATGCCGTTGGCCAGGAACTAGCCCACAGTCCTCACCTCTCTAGAGAAAGGACCTAGCTAGCCTTGTTCTTGGAAACCCAGCAGGACTTACCCCTATAAACACCAAGTTTTCTAATTTACCAAGTAAGGACCCAGAGTCCCAGGGATTGGTGTTGACAAGGCTTACACTCTGAGTCCCCAACCACACAGTGGGAAGGACAGCGAGCATCTACTCACAGTCGGGGTGTTCATATGGCAACCAGTGGTGCTTGGTATTCTGGAATTCGAAGTGCGAGTTACGCTGTTGGCACTGCTGAGCTCTGAAGTCCTCAAAGTGTTTTGGGCATTCTTCTGTATTACAAAGCTGGTGCTCAAAATTAACACCAGGACAATCCTGACCACCGTTGATGGGCCTAAAAGAAAAGACAACATTGAAAAAGGCCCTTTGGCTCTGGGCCAGCAGTTGAAGCTTGCAGACACAGTGCTGGAAGGCAGAAAGCCAGAGCTGCTGAGCTGCGGGCACAAAGGGAATGAACTCATGCTTCCTAATTTCCATCCCTTTCCAAAAGCACCATCCTCCCCCTATGTGTGTTTGTCTGGGACGGGGCGGGGAAGTGGGGACCAAAAGCTCAACTTAAGTCAGCATTTCAAACAGTGTATTTTGCATGCACAGTGAAATATATAAAGAAATTTTAAAAAACATATGTATGGACCAAGGAAAATTATATTTCCTCCCATGCATAAAACATGTACATGTAACCCAAAGACATTTGATCACAGCTCTATGTCTTAGTTTTCTCCTGTGTAGAATGCGAAAAATAATCCCATCTTTCTTAGAGAAACATGGAGAGGACTGCATAAGGCAACATATTTAACATACTTACAACAGAGCATGGCTCATAGTGAACTTTAGCTGCCCTTATGATAATTTTTATTGTTTATATTACTCCCACTAATACTACCAGCATCTCTTCCCGTGAAAACAGGTATGTGACATTTGATATTTTTCATGAAAAACTTTCTCAGAACCATCCTGCTGCCAGAGACTGAAGAAGCCGCTTTTCTTACATGGTAAGCCCTAGACCAGAAAGAAGGTCCTGAGTTTTTGCTGAGCACGCAAGAGGGATTCACTCTGTTTAGTCTGAGTGAGTGAATAGGGAGCTGTTCCCCCAGTTCCTTGGTCTCCTTTCACCCTCTTTCTGTGGTCCCGCTCGGCTGTGTTGCTCCCCTAAGCCCGGAGGGAGTGAGCCCCTGGCTGGAGCTGCTCCCGGCTCTGCCAGGCTGACACACCTGGGCTTCCTGCAGTGGGCCCTCCCAGCGTCAGGGCCCCGGCCAGCACAGGGACGGGCCTTCCCTGCCTAGCTCCTGAAGACTTCTAAATAGCAACGGCTTCCAAAATCTCTAATCTTCGCTTGAGCCTCATCTTCACCGTTGACGACTCTTCCCAAGATTGATGAATGGAGATCTATCCCAAACAGACACTTAAACCCCTGGTTTTCATGTTTTGTGTTTGACATGTACTTCGTGACACAGAATATTAATAACAGCATCCTGGAGTGTTTTCTGTCTATCCAAAAATAAGTAGAATTGCAGGAGCTTACTCACGTGGGATTATTACACTGGCGTGTTCTGAAACGGATACCAGTTCCGCATGTCCGGGAACAGGAGCCAAATTTGGTCCAGGATCCCCAGCCGCCATCCTGTTTTTGTTGATTAGCGTTCTTCCACATGCAGTGGCCCTTGTAGCACCACTGAGGAAAATGACAAAAGGCAACTATGGAAATCATGCCCAAGCCAAAGCCCAAGTTACTACACACCACCACCAGTTAAAGGCCTTTATTCCTTTTCTCCCCCCAGGTAAAGATGCACTTAAAATGAACCCAGTTCAATTACAACAATAAGGTACCCTACAGAGGATAACTTAGACTTGTGTTTTTAAGTACAACATGAAAAAAAAATCATTTACTCAGACAAGTTTTTAAATGACACATGTATAGTGACTATCAAACAAAACCAGTAAGAATGATCTGAGGACCCAACTTGCATTGTAGGTACTATTCTACCCTTCAACCCTCATTAGCTAGATTACCAGGGTTTTTTAAAAAATACACGCCTTTGCTTTGGAATTAATTAACATATCTGAACATATACAGTGTTCAAAACACTTAGGTATGTTTCTAAATTTTCTTTCTTTTTTTTTTTTTTTTAAAGATTTTATTTATTTGACAGCGAGAGAGGGAACACAAGCAGGGGCAGTGGGAGAGGGAGAAGCAGGCTTCCTGCAGAGCAGGGAGCCCGATGCGGGGCTCGATCCCAGGACCCTGGGATCATGACCTGAGCCGAAGGCAGACGCTTAACCATCTGAGCCACCCAGGCGCCCTGTTTCTAAATTTTCAATCACAATGATTCTGAGAGATTCTGTTATCTTTACATCTTTAGATGAGGAATATTGAGACCCAGAAATGACCATGAAGAGGACAAGACCAACTGACCAGGAAGTAATTAAGTGGGAACTAGTGAACCTTGATACCACAGAGGCGCCTAGCTTATAGTACCCAGGACACAGCAGGTCCTCAACAGGTATTAGTTCTTTCCCCTTTCAACATTTTGACTTCCTTTTTTGTCCTACCTACAATAAAAATGTTTCTTAATACTCAGATTTGGTAAATTTAAACATGACACGAATATATTTAGAGAAATTGGATGTTCAGAGTTGACTTACAGGATATATTTTTCATAAAGCAAAAATGAATCAACTCATTGTCGCTCTTGTTTTTTCAGTCAAAAGTTTGTAAATTGAATTTTTCCAGAGCAACACACTGTACGTAATATGTTTAGCATAATACCTAACAAAGTTTAAACACCCATAATGGCAGATTTTATTTTTATTATTATTATTATCATTTTTATGCTTGTAATTCTCAGAGCAAATACAGTTCATATACATTTGAAGTAGAGCTCTAAATGGCTTTAAAAGAACTCAAAGCTACATAAATTTTCCTTGCCACTTCTAGTCCTATCTACAATATCTTATTTCCAAACTAGTCATGGCTCTTCAATCTGAGTTCTTAACATGCCTTTGTTTTGGGTTTGGTGATCTTTCCCCTTACGAGTAGCATAGATTGGCCCCTGGCCACTTTCTGAGCATTCAATCTTGACTACACAATTTGAGATTTAAAACCTCTGGGCATCTTTCCCCAAGGAGCAAGGCCAAATCTTCTGTATAAATTCACATGACTTTATTTCTGGACAACTTTCACAAGGAGTGGGACGCCAGCAAGTAAATCAAATCCCATTAGCAGGGGCCCAGATATTCTGCTGAACTGCTGCTTCCTATTCTATCAGGAATAGCCAAACAGTGATCTCAAAGATGGTAGGTCCTAATCCCCCAAATCTGTAAATATCCTTATTTGGAAAATGGTCTTTGCAGATGTGATTTGGTTAAGGATTTTGAGATGGAGAGGTGATCCTGGATCATCCAGGTGGGCTCTAAATGCCAGCACAGCACATGTATTCCTATAGGAGAGGGTCAGAGGGAAATTTGCACACAGAAGAGAAAGGGACATTGTGGTCAGGGACGCAGAGACTGGAAGGGTGCAGCCACAAATCAAGGAATGCAGGCAGCCCCCAGAAGCTGGAAGACTCAAGAAGAGATCCTCCCCTAGAGCCTCTGGGGAGAGTATGATCCACACAACTATTCTGGCTCAGTGAAACTGATTTTGGACTTCTGGCTCCTAGAACTATAAGAGAATATCATTTCTGTTTTTTTCAGGAACCAAGGTTGTGTGTGGTAATTTGTCATAGAAGCCGTAGGAAACAATGCTAGTGCATTATCATAATGAAACCCCATACACCACGGTTGGTATAAGAAGGGCTACAGCAGGGGTCATAATTTTCCAGGTTTCTAAGGATGATTATGATGAAACCTAGATTAGATTTTCATTGTATAAATAGATATACTCACTTTTCCAGCAGCACATTCAGTCCCATCAAGTGGGGGTCCCTTTTTTGTCTTACAAAAGTAGGGATTATCAGGATGGCTACACCACAGCTGTTTACATGGGTCAAATGTTCGGAACTGGAAGAGAGAGAATCAGGATCTCAATGAAATAGAGATGGCATGTCATACCAACATATATCTGAGAGTATCTTCTGGACACTTTCTTCATGTCATGTTCCTTGGGTATTTTAATTTTAAATTAACAGTCATAGTTGTGGCATGATAAGAAAAAAAAAAAATACTGCCTAAGAATTAATTCCAAGGAAAGAATACTTTTATTCTGCTTTTCTAAAATATCAATGAGAAAAAATAATTTCTCTGCGATTCTCTGGCTGACTTCAACATTTCTGCATACCATTTCTATTTTATGGTTTTCAGACAATATGGGAATTTTAAAGAATTTGTAAATATTATGACCATTTTAAATATGAAAACTTATTAAGATGGTTTTGCCCCTCTCAAGTTATCAAAACTGCTTCTCTTTATCCCTGTAGTTATGAACCGGCCAGATTATAAATAATACTGAGCTGATTAAAAGCATAAAATATTTATAAGTCTTCCTACGTGAGATAAGGTGTCCTAGGTGTAACAAAATCTCAATACATTCATGTAGTTTATAACGTACTTTCCATATATTTAATCCTCAAAACAATCCATTACTGAGACTGTAAGTTATAAGGTAAGGCTTTAGTTACGGTTATACGTTATAAGTGAGATA